ATACAAGTCCTCTGGCACAGAGTAAGTGCCATAAATGGTAGCTGTTATTTTCTTTAATTCTTCAGGTTGGTATGTAGGAACTAGTCACTTTTATTTATTTATTTTATTTTTTTAAGACAGGGTCTTACTCTGTCACCCAGGCTGGAGTACAGTGGTGCAATCTCAGCTCACAGCAACCTCCAATTCCTGGACTCAAGCGATTCTCGTGCCTCAGCCTCCCAAGTAGCTGGGACTACCGGCGCACACCACCACACCCGGCTAATTTTCTGTATTTTTAGTAGAGACAGGGTTTTGCCATGTTGGCCAGATTGGTCTCGAACTCCTGGACTCAAGTGATCTGCTTGCCTCAGCCTCCCAAAGTACTGGGATTACAGGCGCGAACCACAGCACCTGGCTGGAACTAGTCATTTTTGACACTAATAAAGTGAGCTCTGCCAACTACTCAGTCACCTCAAGACGCTGTTATTGTTCTCTATGTTCTGCTACATTTTGTAGAGGAAATTACATCAACCTCAGCATTACTGACATTTCAGGCTGGATATTTGCTGCCGGGCACTGCCCTATGCGCTGTTGGATATTTAAGCAGCATCCCTGCCTCTACCAACTGAATGCCGGTAGAGTGCATCTGGCAAAAATTATTGAGTGACCCCTGGGGGGGGCAAAAGCGCCCTGGCTGAAAACCACCAGTGTGGCACTATCCACACAGAGGGGGTTTCTCCAGGCACTCAGGAAGTAGCCCTCTAGAAGGTCAAAGATATATTCGAGCTACTATTTAGGACTATCCACTCTTCTGGGCTCCATCATGCATTATTATCCATAATTCAAAGTTGACCCCAGAAAAATATTTTGGGGAGGCCCAATTTGCCATCAGAGATGCATTAAGTCACAGGAAGGGATGCTGGCCTTCCACTTCTCCCTACTCTATACAGTAATACAAAGCTGAATGTAAACATCAAGAAATCAGCTATGTCTTATTTACTTTATTTTTTTAAAAAAGAAAAGGCCATAGACCCTAATATGACTTATAAACAATACGATTTCCCAAAATGAAAAAATTTTTTAAAAAACATGTCTTAGTTGAGAAAGCAAGGTACAGTTTATGCAGTGAATAAGTGACTGGAAAGAAACGCCCCCACCGTTTGCATGGTTGTATAGAAGGTTGCTATGTGTATCTCCAAAAAACTCCAGACAATTCTTGATTATTCACAACAGATTCACTATCTATTTTTCATTTTCAAAACTGCACCAGAAAGGCGGAAGCCATTTCTTATCAACCAAATATCTCCACATCTAGCATGGAGCCTCCAACAGAGGAGATAACTCGGCAAATGTTTGTTGAATAAACGAACAGTCATATATTCTGCTTAATTAAGTACACCATTGACCAAAAAAGAACCTTTCTCTGCTCTTCTCCCACAGGAGCTAAAAGATCTTTTAAGAGAAAATAATTACAGTCTCCTCCCTTTTACCCCAAATCCAAACAACTAGATAGTTCAATTAACAAAAAAAGTTCAGTAGGCAAAAGTTGGGGAAAGCAGCCAAATAGATAAGGCCTCAAGTTCAAGCAAGCAGGAACATTTGGTTCAACTCCCATAAGGTTATAAAAGCCAACGTTGCTGGCATGGGGGGGGGAGTGGGGGGGAAGGGAGAGGCATGGGGAAGAAGGGAACTAGGAGGTGGAGAATGGAAAAACAGGATTCAGTCACAGGAAATTACCTTCCATGCCGTCAACAAACTTTTCTAATGCTCAAACTTTAGAGGTGAGGGTTAATTTCTTATATGAAAACTTGATTTACAAATTTTCAAATGCATATCAGCAAAATCTTTAAGAACATCTAGCAAGAGAATTTGATCCGACTTCTGTTAATTCCTGAAATGTCTTTCATGTCCTCGGGGGCAACAGATTCTCAAAAAGCCAGGTAAAAAATATGCCATTTACACCTTTTGTCCAGAAAGAAACTTAAAAGCCCACTTCCTATCAACATGCTTCTCTCTGTAAAAGATTTTTACCACTTTCTGCATTCTACTCCTCAGAGAAAAACACGTTAGGCTTAAATTTTACTATAAAAATATGCTATTTTTTCTATTGTTACTTGGGCACAGAGTGAATACCATATTAACATTATAATACAGTAGTGTAAATAAATGCATTTTTGTTGATCTTTGTAACTAAAAATCTATTTCCTCTTAAACATTTCCAGTTTGACACTTCCAGGAAAAAAAAAATAATTACTTTGTTTTAGCGGTCCATTCATTTAATATATATTAAATTACCTCCAATGCACTAGTATTATACAGGAGAAATTTTGTCAATTTAAATCTTACACAATGTTTCTTAGTTTCACTCAAAAATCTAGACTTGGTTGAAAAAAATATTTTCCTTTTCTGAAAATTAAATATGGGAGCCTAGAATTTCAAAAACCATATATGGTTACAGAATCTATATGATAGTCTTAAGACTATGTACTTATTGTGAGGTGGTTTGCACAAATCATGGCCTATCTGACCAATTTCCTGTTGCATAAAGATTATATTGGCCCTTAAAGATGTTAAATAAGCATTTTTAAAGACTGAAGGTAAACACTTGATTGGAATCTGATGTAATCAAAAATGGGAAAACACTATAGTCTCACCACATAAAAGGCAAATGCCTGCTTAATACGTATTCTTCTTAAGCAAATATGAACATGAGTTTGTAAACGCAAAGCTACCATCCCAGAAGCCCTTGCTTCTTCAGTGTAAGGATCCGGAGGTCCTGGTTCTTGGAGATGAGCTGGGGCGGGAAAGGCTTTACAAAATTCCAGGGGGGCCCATAATTTAAACTTGTGCTATTCTGCAAATGTTCACATTTCCAAGGAACACCATAACATTTACATTAAAACTGTCTTAATCAAGATGACGGAAAAAATTATTCCTGCTGTTCTATAAGCTTGCCATAGATTTGATAACCCAGACAAGAATTACAAGCAATTACAAGATGATGGCTCCAATTAGGAAAACTGGATCTATTCCAAATCCAAATCAAAGGGGGCTCGGATAATCCCGAAGGGATAATTTAAATGAATACAAGGGGACTTCCAGCAAATACATACGCTTATTCTACTATTTCTACTCTTCTGAAAACCAAGCGAAATGCTACAAGGATGTTATCTCCTGCCCTTCAGGAATTCAAAATCCAAACCTGGCATACCATTAATAAGCCTCGTCCTTTTATTTTCCCAAGGGGTCTCCCTAGCATGGGGTGTTTATTGTAAAGGGCAATCAAAACAAACCTGAAAAACTCGCACATTCCCAAATGCAGAAAATAATATAGCGCTCACCACGAACGACACAACAGTGACTTAGCCTTGATGATTTTTTAACCTTTACCTAGTCCTGGACGACTAAGAACAGAGAGGAAAGGAAGAGAAACTTCGAAAGCAGAAATCTCTCTCCCAGAGCCTAGAACAGACGGCACCTTGTAAGGATTTCACGCTTTTTGAGACGGGAAAGGTCACGCCCTGCAGTTTTGAAAACCCACCTTCTAAGGCTCAACCCCCGTGATAGAACCTTCCTCGTGCTTCTCTAGATTCCACGCTGGAGCTGAAATACCCCCTCCCCACCCCCACTCGCCAAACCCGCGCCATCCCCCTTGGACAGAAGAACCACAGCCGGCCCTCCCCCTCCCTCCTTAGTCTGTACCCCACCCCCATCCTCCAACCACCCCGCAAGCATCCGCGTCAGGAAAACCCAGGCGGGCCCCCTCACCTCTACTCCTCATCGCCACCCCAGCCATCCTCGTTAAGCAAAGCAAAGCAGGTCTCCCACCTCCCCCCTCCACGATCCCCGCCATCCTTGATGGGAAAACCAAGGGAGTCGACCCACCGCTTCATCCTCACCCGCTCCCCACAGCCCCTGCTAGCTATCCTGGCTGAAAAAACCAAGAGGTGTCCCCACCTCGCCGCACCCCCCCAATGCCCGCCATCCTTGGTGACAAAACCAGGGCCCCCCCCCCTTCACTCCCTTCTCACTCCCCACCATCCCCGGCACAGGAAAACATGGAGAGCCCCCATTTCACTCCCAATACCCGACCTCCACCCCAGTGCCTCCTAGTCCCCATCGAGGCGAAAACCCAGGGGAGGCCGAGGCACACACAAGGGGGGACCTCGCAGTCCCTCGTCCCGCACCCCGCAGCCCGGGACGCCCCCGGCCCCCGGCCTCAGCGAGGCCGCCGAGGCCGCAGGTACCCAGCCCTGGAAGGCCGAGCAGCCGGGACCGCAGGGACCAGCCCAGAGCGGCGGCGGCGGCGGGGCAGGAGGGCAGCCGCTCCCCCGGGACCCAGGACGCGGGCGGGCGGGAGGCACACACGCGCGCACAAGCGGAGAGAAAGCGGGCTTACTGCGTGGGGATGCTCGCCCGCGCAGCTGTCTCGGCGGCGGCGGCGGCGGCCACTGCCTGCACCGAGACCGAGGCGCGGCGGTGGCGGCGGCGGCTGCGGACTGAGCCCCCTCCGCCGGGCGGTGGATGTAGGGCGCGGGAGGGGCGCGAGGGGAGGGGTGCGCGCGGGGGAGGCGGGGAGGGAAGGAGGGGAGGGAGCAGGAGCGCGGGGGCGGGCGCGGCTAGCCCGGGGCGGGGCGCAGCGCGCGCCGGGCTGGGTTCTGCCCACTGCACGGAAGCTGTGTGCGGGGCGCGCGCGCGGGAGGCGGCCGGACGGGCGCGGGGAGGGGGGCGGCTCGCCACGCACTCTGCGCGCCCACGAGTCCCCGCCACTGGAGAGGCCCAGGCGCGGGGAGAGGGTGGCTGCGGGGGCGCGGTGGCAGGCTCTTTCCCGAGGGCCGGCTCGGATCCGAAGGCCGGGAGGAGGGCGGGCCGGGGGCGCCTCGGGCCCCCTGCCTCGCCCAGCGGGCCTTAGAGGCCGGTGGGAGTCACGAGTCACTGCGGGCAGCCGGGGCTGGGGAGGTGGGAGCAACAAAGACAGCCAAGTGAGGGTGGTGTCTCGCCTCACTGGGGGTCTCGCTAACCTGCGCACTCCCTGAAAAGCGGCCCCGGTTCGGGGCGCACGCCGTTTCGGCCCCCGACTTCGAAACCCGGTGGCTCGGAGCGGCGCAGAAAGGCCCGACGACCCCTCCCCCTTAGTAACAAGCCGGAGGGAGCTAAAGAAGCCCCATCCATAATCCTAATGCCACCATCCAGAGCGTTTTAGCGTCACTCAGAAAGCACCGGTGGCAAAGCGGCGCGTGGCGTCTCTTTCACTCAGCATTCAGTTTACTGAGCCCTCGCCATGTGCCAAGCTCAGTGCCGGGCGCTGGTGATAACAGCGTCGTCTGCAGACAGTACCCACCCTGCCCTGGGAGCTTATAATCTACTGGGGGAGACAGACAATAAAGAAGTGAGAAAATAATCAAATTTGGATAAAGCCTGTATAGGAAAAGTGCAAATAGTGTGATTAGGAAAGGAGGAGGTGACATTTAAGCTGAACCCTGAAAGCTACGAAAGAGCCAGGAAAAAGTTTTCCAGAAAGCAAGCCAGAAGGAGGGACCAAATCTTGATGCTTTGCAATCAAAAGGTAGTGATCATGATTGGCGCCAGGAGAGCTGCGGAGAGTACCAGAAAGTAAGGCTGGACAGGTTGGCAGGGACTAGATCGTGGATTGCATGCTTGTCCATGGGCAGGTGCAGTCCATGGGCAGGCCACTTCATTCCAGAATCAATGGGAGGGCATTCAATGAGTGGCGTAACCCCAAGGCGTGACGTGGTCTGACTTACATTTCTTTTAACTGAGCTTTTGTCTTTTGGGATGATTGTAGATTCACATGCATTTGTAAGAAATAATACAGAGAGATCTGGTGTCCCCCTTGCCCTATTTCCCCCAATGCAAAACTACACTATAAGATAACTAGAATGTTGACATTAGTACAATCTACCAATCTTATTTTGATTTCTCCAGTTTTACTTCGTGTGTGTGTGTGTGTGTGTGTGTGTATGTGCGTACGCGTCTGGTATGTGTGTGTTTAGGTCTATACAATTTTATCACGTGTGGCCTCTTTCCATTACCGTGATCAATGCCTAAAACAGTTTCATCATTGCAACGACCTTACCTGTTGTACTATAATTATAAAATAGCAATAACCATCTCCTCAGTTCCCCAAGTCTTTCACCATTGGCAACCACGAATCCATCCTCCATTTCTGTAAGTTTGATATTTGGAGAATGTTTTGTAAATGAATCATACAATATTCATTTTGAGATTGACTTTTCTCACTCAGTTTTGAGTTCCTTGAGATTCATCCAAGTTGTTGGGTGTTTCCATACTTGCTCTTTTTTATTGCTGAGTAGTATTCCAGATCTGATTTACATTTTTAAAAGACCACCTTGACTACTATATGGAGAATGGTTCAGAACAGATTAAAAATTGAAATAGGGAGATTAGTTAGGAGGCTTTCTCAATAGTTTCTATCAAAGCTGATGGTGGTTTAGATTAGGGTGGTGCTAGTGGAGGGAAGTGGAAGGATTTGATGGAACAGGGTTGCAGAGGGAATTGGAGTTGAAGTAGAGATAGCATAGGGTAGACAACTGTTTTGAGACTTTCCAATGTAAAGGGGAAGAACAATGGAGCAGAACTGGAGGAGCGAGTAGGGACAAGAAAAGATTCTCTTCTCTCTTTGTGATTTGAGAGATGAGAGCCTGTTGGTCAACAGTTTAGGGATAATCAGTAGAGCGGTTGGTGAGGCACGACAGGAGGCTTTACTAAAGGAGTAAAGTTCCCTGCCTAGGTGAGATGGAATAAGGGCTGGATTCATGGGAAGAATTGGCCCTCGATCTGCTGAAAGTCATTCTTCACTGTACACACTGTACAGAAGACCATGGAGGTAGATGATGATGGCAGGAGCGGGTGTAGGGGTGGTGTGGTATACATAGATCCAGCAAACAGATCCTCATGATTCCTATTTGACCCATGTCTCACAAACTGGCTAGTGGTCTCCCTTACCAGAGAACCAGCAACGTAAGCCCTTACAAAGTCCCCTTCTCTGCCCCTGGCACCAGGGGCCTGGGCTTTCTCTTTTCCCCTTCTAAGCCCTCAGAAACACTGAAGTTTGGTCCTTCTAGATGGCAAGAGAAGTCCCGCTACACTGCCTAGGAGAAGAGGAAGCCAATCTGCCCCCACTCCATCATGGAAAGGCATTGAACAATTAGCTTGGCCACAGACAACTCCCCACCCCATACCAGCCCTGTGCCCAGCCCAAAAGAAACAGCCAAGAGGCACCCATGATGGAAGGCTCTGGACAGAGGACCCTCTTTCAGGGAAACTTCTGGCTATTCTTTGGCATTCAATCAGTGTTAGTTGTGATTCATTCTTCTCAAGACTCCTTCCTTTCTCCCTCTTCCTTTATTCATTCTTCCTTCTTGTTTTTCCCCCTTGTCACTCCCCCCATCTCTGCTCCATTCTTACCTTCTTGCTTCCTTCCTTCCTGCCTCCTCCACTTCTTTCCTCACTTCCTCGCTTGTGCAGACATTGGTGATGCTCTTACTAGATACAAGGCATGTCCTGCCTCCCACATTGCCCCAGCTTAGTCTGCACCCAAGGCCAGCCCAGTCTGCCTCTTAACACTTCATCTCCTTGAGACAGACTCAAATTATGTGGGTCATGGAAACACATCGTTCCAATGAAAGCATGTCAGGGACTGTAGTTTGTGTTGCAGAACAAGCAAAACGAATAAAAAGAAAGGGGTTGCCCAAATTGTGAACTTGTGTGCTACATTTTGGTAATGTTTTCAGTGTTAAGAAGTAAAAAGAAATTAAATAGACTAAAAGCAGGTAGTGTGATCTCAGATCTGATCTTTTGGATTTCTGTTTAGTAAGGAACAGGGTGCGAGGAAAATGGCCTTCAATTTCAATAGAATTTAAAGCACCCTTGGAAGGAAATATGGAGCATTTATCAGCACACAAAGTAATCAAGTCCTTTACATTCTCTTCAAAAATACCATTAGAACTAATAATTCTAAGTTATTGAAAATGTATTATGTAATGGACAGTTTGTATACATCATTTTATTTACTCTTATATGACATACTTTACAGATGAGGAAACTGAGACTTAAGCAACTTTGGAACCAGGATTTAAAACCAAGCAGCATAGTTCCAGAGCCCACAGTCCAAACCTGTATACTCTGCTTCCAAAACAATGAAAGTAGAGTGTTCATCACTTTTATTACAGTCATCCAAAGTGGCTGCTTCTTTCAGGTAAGTGATTTTTCCCCCAAAGTGGTGCTCATCTGACTTTGTCAATGGAACCCACAGGGAAGCACTGACTCCATTTCATGATCATCCCTTGTCCTGTCAATAGTGGAGCCCAAAACAACTCTCAGAGAACACATCTACTTCTCCAGCCAACCTTACCTCCTGCCTCTCCCCAAGTAGGCTGTTAGTCTGGGATCTAGAAGGATCTCCAAAAACATCCTGTGCATTCCCCTCTTGAAACCTTAGTTACTGCAGTAACTAAGTAACCTTCTGCCTAGAAAAGTTTCAACAACTTCCTGTAGGTCCAAGGCTGAACTCTCCCCGGCCTGCCCCCACCCTGATCTATCCCCCCCCCCCCACACACACACCATTACCTGTCTCCATTAATGGCACACCACCCACCCACGTGGCCAAAGTAAAAGCTTCTATTACTTTTGACTCAGTCTTTTTCACATCCCATAGGTCATCAAGCCCTAGAAATTCTATTTCTGAAATAGTGAAACCTCACCGTCCCTTTCAAGCCGTTCCTGACCAACTCAGGCAGAATCCAGTTCTCCTGTGGCATTTGGTTCATGCTGATAGCACAGCAGGTAATCATGACATACCTGGTCATTTCATGTGTCTATTTTCCCCGGCAGATCATAAGCTCCTTGAGGGCACACAATGTATTTTCCTTGTTTATACTTCCAGTTTCTTGGAACATGGTAAGCATTAAATTATAGTAGTGTTGTTTTGTTGTTGTTGTTGTTGTTGTTGTTGTTGTTTTTGAGATGGAGTTTCACTCTTTTGCCCAGGCTGGAGTGAAGTGGTGTGATCCCTGCTCACTGCAAGCTCCGCCCACCGGGTTTAAGTGATTCTTCTGCCTCAGCCTCCCGAGTAGCTGAGATTACAGGAGTCCACCACCACGCCTGGCTAATTTTTTGTATTTTTAGTAGAGATGGGGTTTCGCCATTTTGAAAACTCATTATGGTAAAATATAAACATGTACATAATAGAGAAAGTAATGTAATGAACTTTATGCACCCAACACCCAACTTCAGAAATTATCAACACATGATCTATTTTGTTTTAATTGTAGTTATCCTACCAATTCCCTCCAATACACATACACTGGATTGTTTTAAATCAAATGCAAAACATCGTATCATTCCATCCAGAAATACTTCAGTGTATGTGGCTAAAAGATAAAGATGCTTTTCTCCTTTTTATAACATAAGAACAATATCATCATCACACCCAGGAACAGTTACTGAAAATTTCTTAATACCAAAAAATACCCAGTCAGGATTCTGAATTCTCCAGATGTCTCCCAAACGTTGTTTTTACAGTTCATTTATTTCAAGCAGGATATTTTTTGTGACATATAAAATTCATATGAAATTCACATTTCAGTGTCAATAAATAAAGTGTTATTGGAACACAAGTACATTCATTTGTTTACATATTATCTGTGGTTACTTCCTCAGTACAATAGTACAACAGAGTAGTTGTGACAGAGATCATATGGCCCACAAAGTCGAAAATACTGGTTTTTCTTCTGTGAAGAACCAGTATTGTTGACCCTGATATAAACAATTTCTATTTTGGCGACCTGGTAATCTGTTTAATGATAAGCATCTTTCCATGTCAAGAAATAATCTTTTTTTTAACTATTATTTTTAATTGGCACATAATCATTGTGCATCTTTATGGGGTACAGTGTGATATTTCAATATATATATACAATGTGTAATGATCAAATCAGGATAATTAGCATGCCCATCACTTCAAACGCTGATCTGTGTGTGTGTGTGTGTGTGTGTGTGTGTGTGTGTTTGAGACGGAGTGCCCAGGCTGGAGTGCAGTGGCGCAATCTCAGCTCACTGCAACCTCTGCCTCCTGGATTCAAGCGATTCTCTTGCCTCAGCCTCCCTAGTAACTGGGATTACAGGCACACACCACCGTGCCTGGCTAATTATTTTGTATTTTCAGCAGATGTGGGGTTTCTCCATGTTGGCCAGGTTGGTCTCGAACTCCTGACCTCAGGTGATCTGCCCGCCTTGGCCTCCCAAAGTGGTGGGATTACAGGTGTGAGCTACTGCGCCCAGCCTGATCATTTCTTTGTGTTGGGAATATTCAGATGGGCTCTTCTAGCTTTTTGAAAATATACAATAATTGTTAACGATAGTCACCCTACAGTGCCATACAACACCAGAACTTATTCCTCCCATCTAGCTGTAACATTGTTTGCATTAACAGTCTTCTCACTACTACCTTTCCCCTTACCCTTCCCAGCCTCTAGTAACCACTATTCTACTCTGTACTTACATGAGATTAACGTTTTTAACTTCCACATATGAGTCAGAATATGGAGTATTTGTCTTTCTGTTCCTGGCTTATTTCGCTTAACATAATGTCCTCCAAGCTCATAATGTTGCTGTGAATTACAGGGTTTCATTCTTTTTTCATGGCTGAATAGTACTCCATTTGTGTGTGTGTGTGTGTGTGTGTGTGTGTGTGTGTATCACATTTTCCTTATCCATTCATCTGTTGATGGACACAGGTTGACTCTATATTGTGACTGTTGTGAATAGTGCTGCAATAAAACTTGACAGTACACATGTCTCTTTGACATATTGATTTCGTTTCCTTTGGATATATACCCAGTAGTGGGATTTCTGGATTATAGGCTAGTTCTATTTTTAGCTTTTTGAGGAACTTCTATACTGTTCTCCATAATAGTTGTACTAATTTACATTCCCACCAACCATCTACAATAGTTCAGTTTTCTCTGCATCCTTCCCAGAATTTGTTATTTTTGTCCTTTTGATAATAGCCATTCTAACTGGCATGAGGAGACATCTCATTGTGCCAGCCACAAATTTTAAAGGCCCATTTATTACATTTGGTTGCTATGTCTCTGATTAATGGTTCTTGGGTGAACAGATGGATGGGTGAATGAATTCTGCCTTCTTTCACCTATTTCTACCACAGTTAAAATTTTACCTGTTTTACAAATATCTGTCTATCTGATGTTGGAACCTGCTCAAACCCTTCTGTCTCTCTCTCTTTTTCTTTTTTCTTTTTTTCTTTTCTTTTTTTTTTTTTTTTTTTTTTTTGAGACGGGGTCTCACTCTGTCACCCAGTTGGAGTTCAGTGGCACGATCTTGGCTCACTACAATCTCAGCCTCCCAGGCTCAAGTGATCCTCCCACCTCAGCCTCCTGAATAGCTGGGACCAGAGGCATGCACCACCATGCCTCACTTCTCTTTCTTTTTCTGTAGCACGTATCATAATTGTCTCTTGCCCTTATTACGTTTAATCTTATATTAAAGATTTTATGAAGGCAGCTTTTATCTCTCATGTAAAGTTTTCAACTCCTTGAGAGTAAGTAAATGCTTACTCACTACTGTGTGTTAAAACTGCAATTACTTTTGCACCAACCTAGTAACCTAGTGGCACCAAGCGCAGGGCCTTACTCATATTAGACAACCAAATACATTATTTCTAAACAGAATGGAGTTAATAATTAAGACCAACATTCATAACATCCTTTATCTCCCTCAGGTATAGTCTAAGCACCATGAGCCTTGGAATCCTGCAAACATGGGTTCAAGTCTAAGCTTGGCCTCGGTTGGTGGTGTGGCCCAGGGTAAGTTATAAACTCAGGTGTGTTCAAACATTTTTGCTCACGTGCTTCCTAAAATAATTTTGAAAACCTGTGTGCCCCCACACCATTCAGTTTAGAAATAATTTATGTGGTTGTCTAATATGAGAAAGGCCCTGTGCTTGGTGCCACTAGATACACAGTAGTGAGTGAGACATTTTACTTACCTTACCATTCACGTTATAAGCTGGTATCTAAACTTTTTCATCCCATGTTTAAATAGTTACAAAACGAAGTTATTTTGGGCATATAGTATATATGGACATTCTAAAATGATTACATCACTTTTTTATTCTATTCAATTAGATTTAAATAGAGTAGTTGTTTCATACCCACCATTAGCCATCTAAATATTATACATGATTAACTTCATTAACAGTTGGAAATTTTACATTGCTCCTTTTTTCTCCTTTAAGTCATATCTCCTTCACTTCTTTCACAGAATTTTCTACTAATGTAATATATTTTACACATGTAAGTCTGTTTTTCATCACTCTATATACATCTCTGCAATGCAAATATGTACATAAATTACATTTTAAAAATTCTTTCACCATAAAGTTCTACGTGTTTAAAAAATGTTTTCTAGGGGGTGGAATATAAAAAAGTTTTCTGGGTAGAGTTATCTTTAGTACACAATTAATCAAAATAACTTAAATATGTAACAAGATTTGAAAAATGGTTTAAATGTACAATGTAAACTTTTTTGGAAATGTAGTTCTTAGAGATGGATGAAGCTTTTTCAATTAGTTCATGCCATTTGTGGATAAATATTGCTTATGGTTAGAATGAGACAGGGCTCTGTATCAGTTTTATTTTGACTTTTTACATGTTTTGAAAATATTAAGGCTAAGAAGCTTTGTTTACATAAATAAGTAGAAGGACGTTTCTCACAGTGTTACCATACAAACCTTTGTATTTCTTCTGAGTTATATAACCGAAATCCCATCCCATCATGAATCTATCGTCAAAAATTAGTTTTAATGATTTATTGGTTGACAATTCCATTAGATCCTTCAGAAATTTTTTTGAAGACAAAGAATTGGAAACCACCGTGTTGCAAAAGGTCTTGTTATGCAGCGTTCAGGGTCACTCATTTTTCCACAACAACACCCTTATTTTGGCTTCTCCCTTTGTTTGGCACAGGGAGGTTTATATCCCCTGGGGCAATGCGTCAAAGTCAGATTAGTGATGGTGAAAGGGGTTGTCTTTCTTTTGTAAAATGGGAGAAGGGCTGTTGAGAAAAAGGAGGTGGAAAAGGAGAATCCACCTGCCTCAGACACAGCTTTCTCAGGCAGATCAGTTTTTAAAAGTTGAGGGTCTAGAAATTGATTTCTTCACAACTGACTGTGCCCACGGATTCCTGGAAATTCTTCATGTATCCCCAGTGTTATGTATACCCCAGTATGACTTAATTTACCTCATCTCAGTTTCTACATCTGCAATTCAGGGCTAGCATTATCTAAGTCACAGGATTATTGTGAGAATGAAATTAAATTACATAACACATGTAATGAACCTAGCACAACATCAGACAGATAGTAGGTGTTCAGGAAATGTTAGATTCTTTCTCCACCTTTCCATCTTGACATTCCCATTTTTACACAAGTACGATGGATTATCTTTAGCTTTTTTTTTTTTTTTCGGTGACAGTCTCACTCTGTCGTCCAGGCTGGAGTGCAGTGGTGTGATCTCCGCTCACTGCAAGCTCCACCTCCTGGTTTCATGCCATTCTCCTGCCTCAGCCTCCCGAGTAGCTGGGACTACAGGCGCCCACCACCACGCCCGGCTAATTTTTTGTACTTTTAGTAGAGACAGGGTTTCACCGTGTTAGCCAGGATTGTCTCAATTTCCTGACCTCGTGATCTGCTTGCCTCGGCTTCCCAAAGTGCTGGGATTACAGGCATGACCCACTGTGTCCCGCCTATCTTTAGCTTTTTTATAATCTTTAAAAAAAGGTTATATGATTAGGCCAGGATTACATATGAAATTAATAAATGTGGGCTGTAAATCTAATCAGCACACTTCCCCATATATTTTTAAGGCTTTCAGATTTTTTTTTTTTTAATTGAAGTCTCGCTCTGTTGCCCAGGCTAGAGTGCCGTGGCTTGATCTCCGCTCACTGCAACCTCTGCCTCCCGGGTTCAAGCGATTCTCCTGCCTCAGCCCCTCTAGTAGGTGGGATTACAGGTGCCCGACACCACGCTCGGCTAATTTTTATATTTTAGTAGAGACAGCATTTCACCATGTTGACCAGGCTGGTCACGAACTCCTGACCTCAGGCAAACTGCCCCCTTCAGCCTCCCAAAGTGCTGGGATTACAGGCATGAGCCACCGCACCTGGCCCAGACATTTCTTAAAAAGCAATGTACAAATATAATATAAAACTCATGCTCCCACTACCCAGAATTCACAATTATTAAGAGTTTATATTTACTTTGTCTCTCTGTTTTTTATTTTTTTCAGACTTGGTCCATGAGAAGTTTTGTTTTCTTTTGTTTTGTTTTGTTGTTGTTGTTTTTACTTTCTTTCTCTTTTGGGAAGTAAAAGAATTGAATATTGCAGATAAAATATTTAATATTGTCCACTGTCTGCAGTCCTATCCCCTTCTTTCTCCTGAGTCAACCACTGTTCTGAGTTAGTTTTGTTTCATGATTTTATATTTAATGTACACTAGTGGTACCATTAGTCTATATCATTCTGCAGTTTTGTTTGTCTGTTTGACTCAACCTTCTGGCTTTATTCTTTTGGGTTTTTGTTTGTTTGTTTGTTTGTTTTGTTGTTGTTGTTGTTGTTGTTTGAGACGAGGCCTTGCTCAGTTGCCCAGGCTGGAGTGCAGTGGCACGATTTTAGCTCACTGCAGCCTCCACCTCCCAGACTCAAATGATACTTCTGCCTCAGCCTCCCAAGTAACTGGGATTACAGGAGTGCACCACCATCCCCAGCTAATTATTATATTTTTGTAGAGATGGGATTTTGCCTTGTTGGCCAGGCTGGTCTCGAACAACTGACCTCAAGTGATCCACCCCACTCACCTCCCAAAGTTCTGGGATTACAGGTGCAAGCCACTGTGCTCAGCTTTATTCTTTATTCATGTCTTCTCCCTGCCACCCCAGTCATTTTAGAAGTCACGCATTCTATTTATATCATACACTCCGAATGTAATCACTATCTCCATCCTTCTCCCAAACAAGGCAATTTCTCCCATCCCACCCCCAACTCTAATGTTTTTGTTCTCTGCGATTTTAGTTCCAGTTTGGTTTTTGGTTTTTTTTTGTTTTTTTTTTTTTGTTTTTTTTTGTTTTTTTTTTTGCTTTCTTTTGTTTCGAGACAGTCTCTCTCAGTCACCCAGGCTGGAGTGTAGTGGCACCATCACGGCTCACTCTGCAGCCTTGACTTCCTGGGCCCAAGTGATCCTCCTGCCTCAACCTCCCAAATGGCTGGAACTACAGGCACTCACCACTACACTTGGCTAACTTTTTAATATTTTGTAGAGACAGGGTCTCACTATGTTGCCCAGACTGGTCTCAAACTCCTGGCCTCAGGCAATCTTCCTGCCTTGGCCTCCCAAAGTGCTGGGGTTAAAGGTGTGAAGCACTGTGCCTGGCATATATAATTATTTTAATTTCTGTAAGGTCAGTAATAATACACTTTCTTCTTTTATTTCTAATTTTAGTAATTTGAGTACTCTATTTTTTCTTTGGTCGTCGTAACTGAAGGATTGTCAATTTTGTTGATATTTTCAAAGAAACAACTTTTGTTGATTTTACTGTATTTTCTATTCTTTATCCAACTTTTTTCTTTCTTTCCAGTGGATTTCTTATTGCAGACTCCTGTTTCATAATCATTATTATTATTTTATGTATTCTATTTTGTATTTTTTTATCTCTGGAAAATTGTTTTTGTTTGTGCTTTTGTTTTTTGTCAACTTTTATTTTGAAATATTTCAAACCTTCAGAAACATTGCAAGAATAACATAATAAAAACCTATATACCCTTTACCTACATTTATCAATTGTTGATATTTTTCACATTTGCTTTATTTGTGTGTATGTCGATATCTATCTATCGATGAGCTATTTGATAGTTGTAGTTGTAGATGATATGACACTTCACCCCTAAATACTTCATGTATCTCTTAAAAACAAAGGCATATGCCTACATAACCACAGTATAATAATCATACTTGGAAAATTTGACATTGATATAATATCAAGTTTACATCCATAATCAAATATTCGCAATTGTTCCAATAATATACTTCATAGCATTTTAAAATCCAGAATGTAATCAAGGATTGGCCAGGCACAGTGGCTCATGCCTGTAATCCCAGCACTTTGGGAGGCTAAGGCAGGAGGATTGCTTGAGCCCAAAAGTTTGAGACCAGCCTGGTCAACATGACAAAAACTCATCTCTACAAAAATTGTAAAAATTAGCTGAATGTGGTGGTGCACACCTGTGGTCCTAACTACTCAGAAGGCTGAGGCAGGAGGTTCCCTTGAACTAAGAATTTGAGGCATCAGTGAAAAAAGAAAAAAAAGAACCAAACATCACACTGTTGTCAAGTCTCTTTAGCCTTCTCTGATCTAGAATATTTCCAAGCTGTTTTTTGGGGGTGAGGTGGTTCTTGTGATATTGACATTTTGAAGAGCTCAGGTTAGTTTTTGTTTGTTTGTTTGTTTTGTTTTGTTTTGTTTTCACCCAGAATGTCCCTCAATTTGGATTTGTGACCGTTCCCATTTTTGGCAGGAATACAACAGAAGTGGTGTCGTGTTCTTCTTAGTGCACCACATCAGAGGGCGCATAATGCCAGCTTGTCCCATTATTGTTAATGTGAGGTTTGATCACTGAGTTGAGGTGGTTTCTATCAGACTTCTCCATCATAAGAGTTTCTTTTAGCCTTAGAATTAAAAGGCAATCTGTGAATTATATGGAAGGGAGGCAGGGAAGTGCTGGGAAGGGAAGGGCGTGGTCCCTGTGG